GGCTGACGGTTTCCCCTAAGCGGGTTTAGGTTGCAGCAGAGATTGGAGGCTTAAGTGTTGCGAGCAAAGCTTTGCGTGTGTTTAAGGCTCGGCGTCTTACCGCTAAGGTTTGCCACTGGTGGGATTTGTCAGTGATTAAAGCCCCGCACCTAAGCCTGACCCAAAGCCAAGAATTTTGGACTGACCAAAAGGTGAAACAGGACGTCTTCAGGTAGGAAAGCTTCTATCCTGGGATATAGCCTTTTGAGCAAATGGGAAAATGTCGACTCACCAAGAGAGGTGACGAATTCACATTCCTTGTGCCGGACAACACGCAGCTCCTGAGCTTCACGCACCATGGCCCTCATAGAAAAAGAAGTACCGATATCCTTCCCGTATAATGCAGAATAATGTGGACCATGAAATGGTTCTGGGTTCATGTAGTCTTGGTAGTGGCGAATATTCCTCCCTTGTAGAGCAGTCCTTACATAACTAGTGTATCCTTCGGGTTCTTCTGGGAGATCACAGAGAGCTTACTTGACAAGTTCATTCCTCTAGCAGGAGCTGCTTTGCACTGCTCAGGGATACGAATTCCTGCGCTTGTTGAGGGAATGTGTGAGCCTGGGAATTGTTTTTCTCAAGATCTTGAGCTTCCAAAAGTAGAGCTCCCTTGTTTTGTGCTTTTGGGATGTGATTGCTCAAGCCTCGTGAAGATGTGTACTGAAAGAGTAAGATAGCTAGCTAGAACTAGCCCAGGTATATATCACTGCAACCTCAGTTACCATGTCTTGTTCCGTTTGATTTCCATTGCTGTATCCTGTCTTGTATTCGGTAGAACATGTACATGCTCTTTATAACAGCTCAGGCAGCATCCGTAAGTGCACAGCCATCTGATGAAGCAACCCCTTCCCCTTTGTGATTAGGTCTTCTTACCGTAAGGCCTGCGCTATAGATTCAGTGGATGAACTGATGAAATCGGAGTGCATGATTCCAGCATTATTGGGTTTCTGGGGTCCCAGGTACTAGTATACGAGCACTGTCCACCTCAATCTCCTTTACCGGTGTTTCGGGCGGGCGAGTCCGTAAAATGCAGGCATTTGCTCGTTTACGGTCGTTCACCGCTTGAAGAGCAGACGACGCCGTCCTCGGTGGCTTGGCAACGTTTTGAGCCGTTGTTGAGGGTTTGGAAGTAAGGGCCTGCGGTAGGGTTCAGGCGTAAGAGTACGGAGTTAGTGGTTCAGGTTTGAGATTAAAGGCTAACGCATTGGAGCGTTTGGGTAGCAGTTGAGGGTAATGTGTTTGGGGTGGCCAAGGTACAGGCCTGAACCCTGAACTTCCTTTCTGTAAAGGTTGTGTGCTTTTCTGGGTGGTACGCCATTTGATCTCAAATTCGTCGGCCAGATTTGATTTCTTGGGGCTTTGAGGATCATAGGAGCCAGGAGAATACCGCTAAGCCCCGACTCAACATCCTAGACATCCTAATCCTAAACCTCTATGTGCGGGACTCTGAGACTTGGACCCGAGGTGGTCATCATCGAGAGCGTCGCCAGCGTCATCAACGTTTCCTTCGCAGACTTGGAATCTTGGATTTACTCATGAAGTTCAAGTAGATAAGGTGTTGGGTTACACGGCTCTCACTGTGCCGTCCGGCATTTTGCATAACAACCTGCCAGCCTCACTCACGCATTTGTAGATTTTTTTGCGGTTGGCCCTGAGCACTTTGACTCCGAACGCGAAACCAAAATTCCAGATCCCAAACGCTAAACATGACTCTGAGTAGCGCTATTCTGTTTCAGGCTGGAAAGCCTTGAACTTTGAACTCCGCTCCCAAGGATTTGGATGCTGGGGAGCTTGGCGGATCCGTCACCTTCCAGCCCCCGGCAACTGCCGAGCGGGTTGTTCGCTACGTTGCATACCTGGTCACTTGCGCTGCAAGAAGCAGTTTTTCTGCAGTGTGATTGGAGCTGGCATGTTGTGGACTAAGTTAGCCTTCATGATCATGTCGATCCCAGGCTTTGGGTTTTCGCGTTTCCTTACTGCGGGCTGATAGGGAAGGGAAGAATGAGTGCTGTCGGGGTTGGGGCTCGATACAGACTGCTGCGGGAATCTAATGGGGACAGTTCAGCAAGCGCATAGTAGAACTCGCGTTTAGGAAAGCTACGAGGCGCATCCCCATCAAAGAATAGCTGAAATAGGCTCGTCTTGCAGTCTCAGTTCGATCTCGGGCGCAGCTCCTTACTTTTGCGTAGAAGTCAGGGTCCACCAGCTTGGGCATAAGGAAGCTGCGCGTGCAAAACGAACATCTCGGATTGCTAGGAGTAAGAAGGGTTCTACATTGTGGCTAAAGCGACCTGCACGAAGCCCAGCTTACTTGATGTGAGTGGAGTTTCTGTGTGCTTCAGGGGGAAGAGCTAGTGTAGAAGCATCAAGAACTGCCGGCATCAACGCCTCACTCCTTAGATGACTACAGACGTATGACACACTGACCCTGCAACATTCTTCTAATTAAGCAGGCTCCTACATTATGCCGACGGACCTGGACCAAGTGTTCGCGTTCTTAGCCAGTTCCAGAACTTCCTACCCTGAGGGTAAGGTGGGCTTAGTAAGTAGGTTGATACGAGGATAATCAGGTTTATCATATACGGGTCACTTATAGGAGTTAGCAAGCTACTTGCTAAGTCCCCCTCCCTTGGTTTGCAAAGGCATGGTGTTTACTGTCGTAAAACCGCGAAGAACTATGAATAATATGGTTCTTACTAAAGATCTGATCTGGTTTGTTTTGCCTGGACCCCAAAGTATGTAGAATAATGGCCTCTTGGACTACCTTAGAGAAGTTTGGGCCATCATTTTATCTAATTTTTCTGGGGGTTCAGGTGTCACTGAAAAATTGTTGCGACACGGTTCCATAGCTCGCTGCTACAGAACCGCCGGGTTTATTTAGGCCAAGAACAGTTGGATTCATCCTGCACGCTCAAGTTCTAACAGCTACTGGGATCCCTGAATCCGAAAGGCTGCAATACTTGAATCACTCTCTGGTCTCGCAGGTTTCCTGACCCGAAAACTTGAGTTTTAATTTTCGCAAGCCCTGGAGAACCTAAGCCCCAAACCCAACTGGGAAGATGTTGAGGCGACAGGGTACAGTGACTCCATGACTACGCGGTCCCAACTGGGCCCTGACATCGTGGTTGGCGTGGACTCAGAAGTTGCAGGTGCACACATAACCTCTAGAAAAAATCCAGTGTCCATCGCGTTGGACCCTAGAGTACCTTAAGGGGCACTGTGGGAGCAGGGTTTGAGGAATGTGGCGTTCAGGGACAGACTGGCTGAACATCTTGGAAGCAGGGTTTCCAGATTGGCTTGAAGGTGCTGGTGCTTGGCATGGCAGAGCCTTTTGTTATGCAAATATCGGGCGGTGTGAGCCAGACTTGTACTCTAAGATTACGGCTCTGCGAACCACTTCAGGTGCAGTGTCGAAGACTGCTTGCATTTTAAGCATCAGGACTTAATTGCTGAAACCACCAGGCAGAGACCAGAGCAGTTTCTAGAAAGATAATTAAGAATGGTTTCGGGGCGTGGTATGGCAATTCTGGCTCATTCACGGTTCCTAGAAGCCTATTTGGTTTCTCAATGGTTCCAGACAGAGCCCCGAAGTCTGAGAAACGGGTAGAGGTTCAACACGTGCTTGTCCCTAGCCGAAACCTTTCATCGGAATGAAGCGCTAGATAGCCGTAGACGTTGATGAACGACTAGGCATCTTGCCTGACACGCCTCTTGCCAACTTCACTCACGTGACCGGGTCGCACAGGGCGAGAGACTGGGCTTCAGCGGTTGGGTTGAGGGTTATTATGAAGTGAGGCTTCAAGTTTGGTTGACGTTGTATTCTGAAATGTTCGGAGCAAAGATGCAGGGTTTGCTCATGATGACAATCAGCAAGAGCATCTGACTCGGCGACACCCCAAGATGCCCGGAGCACTCCTTGTGTTGAGATTTTTTTCGAAAACCATGCTAGAGATCTATACTGAGGGAGGCAAGATGCAGACATCCTACGCGCGGGATCTTAGTTGGAACTGGCCTTGCTTTGAACCCGCATGGCTTCGTTGCCTATCTCCCTAGGCATTGGCATTCCAAAAAACACTGTTGTACTGTACCATAACGTCAAGGAACTAGTAAATTATGATATTTATGATGTAGGACTAGGCAGATTCCAGATAGAGGACTGGGGACTTCCTGTAGTCATTAGCCCCTACATTCCATGAATGCAATTGATGCGGGCCACCCGGAGCCTACACCTTATAATTACCCTGAATACTCAAGTAGTTTACGTCTTCTTTCCCTTTCCTGCACTCCCACATAATCACCAGTAGGCAAGGAGCCTGCTGAGGTGCTGGTGTATACCGAGTCAAGGCTCGCCGAACAATCGACTCCAGTTGCGATCAGCGTGCAGGACATGAGACTCATTTGGGCATGGCAGTTGGAAGGAAGCCAGAGTTCCATTTGCCCGTGTTCAGCTTTTTAGTGACTTTGTGTTTTCGTCAACGGAGCATCCATAGCCATGCAACAGACCATTGCTCTTCAGGTTTCAGGAGTGGGCTCCTCATGCTGAGGAATGAGATCCCAGATTCAATGAGCAACGCAGCATCCAGAAAATGATAAGAAGCAAGGAGTGTTGGTATGATCGTGCCTGGACTTTCATGGTCAGAAGAACTGGCGGCTACCGTCGGTAGCAGAGGCACCCGGTCAGAATCAAGAGATAATTGAAAGGGAGCTTATGGACCTTGGCAATGCCATGAGTTGTTTGCGCAGTGAAACACCAAGTATTTCGGCTTCTTACCTAGACTAATTTTACTCTGTCACCTACTGGTACAGCTGCCTCTCACGCATCCAACAGGATCCTAGCCTGAAGGAGCATCGGCGTATGGCCAGCTTGGGGATAAGCCAGGCAAAACATGTTTTTGTGCCCTCAGCCTGCAGCACGGACCCGGATAGATTCCCACACCCCAACGCGGTAGAGAATCGTGTACATGCAGGACAACAATGCTTCGGCATCTTCCGTTCTTTTCGCAGATTTCGACTTGGATCTCGGTGACATTGGCGGGCCGCTCTTCTGGCTTCCACCGGCCGACACCTCGTTGCTGGACCATGAAAAATCACCACCTGGGATTGCTCAAGGGAACGGGGCCCTAGAGAGAGCGTCCGCACGGGACCCGAGTTCAGAGGATGACCCACATCCCGAAATTCCAGATACTGTCATGGAACTTATGGGTTAACCTGCATCAGTAGCACCGCTACTTTGATCCAGGCTGGTCACGCACTACGAGGTGTACCTGGCAAATGACACAGCCACTGCGCCTCAACAGTGCTTCTGCGGTGTCCCCCGGTAAATCGATGTCCTGGTCCAATCATCTAACATGTTGAGCAGTTGAGGTTAAACCCATACTTCCAGGAATGGTCTTTCACCCTCAGGCCTTTACAATCTCCAAGCTGTTGGCGCCCATAAAGTACTGGTTCGTGAGTGCACCTCTTGCTCAAACATACTTGAAATGCTCAGGCAGCAGACTGGAGGGAGCACTATGCCACCATCCCTGTGGGCACAACCAACCTGCACATCCGTGCGGAGAAGAAGCTGATGACGGAAAGCACGTATCCAGGCAGTAGTTCCATATGAGGGGTCATGGCAGAAGTGTCGGCCCATATCTCCCATGCAGCCCCAACAGCTCAAACCCTGAACTTTCTGGAGCTGTCCCACGTGCCAGCATTCAGACATCGTTTCTCGCCTGTTCAAATTCCTATGAATTTGGGCACCTTATTTTATAAAGCAAAACCGAGAAAGACTTAATATCAGCAGCTAGGGATTGCCAGGGATAGTCAGGGACGTTGGGGAAAGCAAAGGTACCTCTCCCACTTCGTGGTCTACACACGGCAACAAGCTCGGACGTTTGCTTCTGTTTGGGGACGGACTTGAATGAAGAGTTCAGACCTAGTCAGCATAACTGTTCCATCACCATATATAAACCTGGATCTATAGCAACTTACTAGCTCAAGGGCTCTTGTCGACATTCCCGGTAAAAGGAGGGTGCAGCCAAATGAACGTATGAGTGTAGAAGTGAAAAGATTTTCAAATGTTAGCACATACTAGTCAAAAAACTGACGTCTGAACTAAACCCAAACGCAACAGTCAGCCAGAGAAACAGTTAGTGGCAGTTGCAAGAATACACGGCGTATATATGTTAGGAAGTTAAACGATGGCACTATTAAAACTGCCCATGCCAAGAAGCCGCAAAACATTTTGCAACAAAAGTACACCCTAGAATATGTCTGTGCTCGACATTGAGTGCTTCACAAAAATAAAAAGAGCCACCCATGAAATGAAGAGGAGGGGCTCAGCAGCAATTTCTTGGATGCAAATGAAAATCATTACCAAATGAGATATATGGTGAGTTCGTGTTCAAAGTGTAGCCTTCCTTCATCAGGAAAGTATTGGCTGTAATCCAATACAAATGCCTGAATATTCATATTCCGCACAGTTCAAAGGTATACAGCAAACAGTAACAATGCGAGCCGTGCAAGTATTCAAGGAAACAAGGGATGGTCTTTCGGAATGTTGCGTGCAAGCTCAGGATATTTGTTTGAAGCAGTTTAAGATAAGCTTTGGTACAGTACAACAAAGCATCTGCCAGAGAAACGAAGCACCCAAATTCATGATTCTGTTGGGTGAAGCCTACTCTCTAAAGGTGGTGATAGCGTAGGGACAACAAGAGCATTGCCAAGGAGACTAAGCCTTATTATCACTGTTTGTTCAACGACAGGGACTTCATAGAAATGTTTTTAAGCCCAAATACCGCACCAGAGCAGTTGCCGAGTTTGATGCAGCTGATGCAGAAAGCATGTCGTGCAGAAAGTTATTGTTGGCTATAGACAGAGCAAACAATGAAGAAGGGCACCAGACTGAGCATAAACGAGGTTCAGGTAAGACATCATTCATGCTAGAAGGAGGGGTGGAGTGGATTCACATTTGTGATGACTCTCGTTGGAGAAAGGTATATGGATGCCAGGTTTGCCTACCTGGCAAAGGAAGCAGAGAAGTACAGACTAAGGAAATCACATCTCAGAAGAAACATCAAAGGTTATCTGAATTCCGTAGAGGATGTCTTTACACAAAAGACCGACAGGCATTGTTTTAAGATGCTCTTATTGTAAGAGGGAAGCCCTAAGGCCTAAATCCAGTTAACGGCATTGTGTTCAGGTTGGATTTTCTTTGTGCCGGAACACCCCGGTTCGGGGCGATAATCTGAATTATAGGACGGGTAAGGAATGTGGAAGTGGTAGGTAGTTAGGATTTAGAGTTTAGGTTGTTGGGGAAGGTGATTGATTAGGTACTGGGTATACAGTAGCAGTCATGTGATGGGGTGTGTTGCGATATGTTGAATCATTTGGCTGGTTGAGACTGTTGCTTTTGTGGGGCTAGTGGGGACATGAGCTGGGAAATTTGATTTGCCATCACCTGCATGGGCCACTTGTTGTAAATGCTTCAGCTGCACGGCACCTTTCTGATTTCTGTAGACGTAGGCGGAGCAAGAGTGCTGATTGATACACACGGAGTTGTTTCAAGCCCTAGAACAGTTGGGGGCAATTTGAAAGTATAAGACACCCTAACGTTACGATCATCAGAACTATGAACAGAATTGGCAAGGACCGAACCCGGACAGATCTGGCGATAAGGATGGCTGCTGGAAGAGAACCGCTACTACAGCAACCTTAAATAGTGAAGAAGAAGAGCGCTTGAAAGCTCAACACCTGTGGGAGAGACAAAGCAGTAGCCTGTCCTCTCAAAGGTCCTCACTTGTGGAGCAGTCGACACCCAGCATTCACCGCATCGTAGACGAGTTCGCCAGCGTCTCCAACATCTCGTTCACAGAGACTAGCTCCAAATGAACTGCAGATTTAGGAGTAATGCTGCACATCAGGGTGACTAAGTGGCCGCATTCTTGCTGATTCAGAAAATCGCCAGCCTTGCACAATGCGCAAACACGGCTATCATCGTGGACTTGTTTGGAGCGCCCTTCAGCTCTAACAGAGATCCTGCTAGCATAGGAGATTAGCAGCAAACGTAATAACGTATCTTGGGCAGTGAGTTTCATGAGGCTTCGTTAGGATTTCCAAGGTCTCTGCCGTGCAGGGCACGCTTGTTGAAGTGGCTTTTGGATTGTCATGGCTGTTGAAAAAGGAACCAACATAACTGCTGCCTGCTTTCAGTGTGCTATTGCATGGGTGGTTCCTCTGAGGCTTACCATATCTCAGCCTCAAATCTATGTCTGAGAGCGAAGCAAAACGACAGCCTGAGAGATAGCCAAACTATGACATCAAACGCTGGGCAAAGCAGTTTTGCCTGGAGCTGATGTAGATCTGGGGGTAAGTTTGCGGACTCACTCAAGTTGTTGTTCGGGCTAAGAGTCTCATTCCCTGCTGGCGCATTCCCTGCTGCCGCCATAGCCGGAGGGACTGATTAGCAGCGCAAAGGTCATCCCAGCAAAGCCCCGTTCTAGTTTCCAGAAACATGGGGACTTCACTAAAGATACCCTCAATATGGTACCCTCAGGTTTTGAGGAACCCCCATTTACCTTTATGCAAGGCTATTTATCAAAAAAACATCTGGCCATGTCATGGTTGTGGTTGCCCTTTCCTCCTATGTCCTCAGGAGTTGCTTATATGTTTTATTGGGAGATAGCCTTAGGAAATGATTGAAAATACTGTTTTTGTTATAGGTCTATGGGGATTACAATTTCCCTTCCCCCAGAAGCCCAGATCCCCATAGCAGGATGCCTCAAAGTAGGGCCCCTGGAAGTTGAGAACACCCTCGAGGACATCTGGAACCCAAATGCAAAATCCAGACAGTGCCCGACGGGAATCCTAAATCCTCAACCTTACGCCGTCACACTTATGCTCAGCAAAATGCGAAACCTTCGTAGTGTAAGCAACTAACATCTGCCTTGGGGAGTTCATAGAACATTTGTAGGAGAGGTACAAGGGGATGATTTGCAGGCTTCTGCATTAAAGCCAGCTGAGGATCTGGATCTGGACCGGGATGAGATTGGTGGACTTGTTGCCTGGGATTCTCCAGCCAAGACCGACCTTGTAGAAGGCAAGCAGTTTGCAGGGTCCGTGGCAGGATTTGGAATAGGCATGATTTGAGGCAATCTGTCCTTGCGTGGATTTGGATGTTGGTATACAGGCTAAATGGGGTCCTTAGGGGTAGGTGTGCATATGTTTACGTGTCGTTTGGCCGTGGGCCATGCGCAAAGCGGCAAAAAATTATGAGCAGCAGTTCAGTCGTGCCCTAGAGGCAGACCTAAGGTTGTGATTAGATGTTCGATACAGACTCCTTGGAAAACCTGAATGAGTTCAAGACTGAAAAACCAGTTTTCTCTCGAAGGAATATAGCCACAAGATTTTGCAGCATCTTCTTGCATGAAACACGTTGCCTGAAGCTTTCAACAAACTTGGAAAGCATGCGAAGAACAAAACTGCTACCACTCGATCTCCACAATATCCGGGATAAAATGTCAAAAGTAAATAAGTGAGCCTGCAGGTTACAACCTTTACGTGGCCGACTCGCCAGAAGGATCGTACCGCTCGCAGGTCGAGGATGGGGTGCTTGTCAGGGCCTTAGTCGGCTTGCTGTTGGGACATCCAAGAATGATTTACTGTGGAGGTACTGATTTGGAGGCACCCCACCTGATCATAGGAAGGGGCTGATTGCTCTAGCGTTCTATGACCCAGAAAAGGCTCATGAGCAAAAAGACAACTTGAGCGTTTGATGCAGCATCCATAAGACCCTGCTGACCTTTGGTCCCATCTCCCTTTCGCAGCTATAGCGTAGGGTACCTCAAATGGACCTCAAAATGATGTTGGTAATAATTGAGACCTCTACAGTACAATCCCTTGCTTTGGAGGGGGTCCTGTAGGTCTGCCTCACAGACACAGAAGCTCTAGTGATACAAGACTAGACTCCAAGTCTAAAACGTTGGGATCCTCTATTTCGGCTCAGGGGCTATAAAGGGTCATATAGATTTATATAGGGATCATGAACAAACAAACAGAACCAACTTTTTAAGGTTTAGGGCTTTCCAAACAACAGCCAGATTCCAACGCCACGAAGCGTAGAGCAAAAGGTCAACGTGACAGCCCTTGACATTTTGTACGACACCGCCCGGCAGAACTTCAGCCATCTGGTGGTATACACGAGGCGGGTGTCTTTCGGAGTTTGAGGGTTCAAGGTTTCCAGGCTCCACCGGGTTTGCAGGATTTACTTATAGGTGGTAGGAAGATGGGAAGATGTTGTATAGGGATAATGTTCCCATATGCCCTTGTAACCACCATTCCGTTTAGGGGGCCTGGTTTGTCTGCCCTCTTGGGATGTTGGTTTCGGCTCGGGTTTGAGAGTAGAGGGGCTTCAGTGATTGATGCTACTAATCCTATGACTAAAACTAGTACTACAGTTAGTTTTCATATTAGTATTGCTAATGTGAATACCACTATGGATGCTGATGACTGCGGGTTTGAGGGCTTCGTTACTGGAGGGTCCCCAAAGCAATGAAGGTTGCAATGGCCATCCCATCGGCACCGCCATTATCGCGTTATCACTAGGTCACGATGCGAGCCTGTAAAAGGCTTTCCGGGAGATTCCAAGGACAGATGCCGTAGGCCTTGTCATTGTTGACTGTTGTCGGGGCCCTCCCCCCAATGTGACGCTTCAGCCCTCAACCCTACACCAAAACCTTCTACCAAACTTTCAAAGCCTAGCCTAATCCTAAACCCTAGACCCTAGACCGTCCACTTTAAGGGAGCCCAAAGGTCGTCTTTGGTGGAGCAAACGACTCCGGTGTTCTCTGTTCTGGTGGATACTGCTGCAACTGTTGCGGCCCAAGCTTTCCAAGGATCATGTGAGTTAAGGGTTTAGGGTCCCAGCCCCCAGCACAAGATAATTGCAAGAGACGTTTCTAGAGTCTCGGTGGCGGTTGCCGGATATATCATATGCTGCAGTCCCAACACTAACCCGACCCCAAATCCATAAGGCCTATGGCTGGGGCCTGACTCATGGACCCTAGCTGACTAGGCAACTTTGAAGACTGACCCTTGATCCCAATCCCGTAGTCCCCGTATACCTTGTTGTTTCAAGTTAAGGACACCGCTGAGGCGGTTCTCAGAAGTATGAAGCTTGTATCTTCCTTCACAGAGGGGCGGGGCCTCTCATGGGAAGGGCATTTTGGGGATACGAGGGGAGGGCGCATATGGGAAGACAAGAAACTCACCCCGTGGGATTCAGGCAAGTGTAGCCTCATCTATGGCCCTTCTTCAGTTCGCCGAATACAAGGTGTATTTGGTGTTGATGATCGAATGCCTTTCGTGGGACTTAATTACGTGAAGGGTGCGTCTCAACATCAAGCAATGTCTCCGTGATGTGGCTGTTTAGCTTTCATCAAGTTCATGTGGACACAGTAAGGCAGGGATGTAGATCTGGAGGGCACAGATTCTGCCCGAGTCCGACACAGCATATCCCAGGTGTCCAACGTGACATTCGTGGACTACGACCTGGATCTCACAGACATTGGAGGACCGTCGGAAAGAGTTCTGGATGATGGCCAGATACAATATCCCCAAATCCTAACATACAACCCTTGAGAGTCTTGAGAGCCACCAACACATGTCAAACAAACCTGGTGTCATCCCTCTGCTTGGAGGGTCAGGAGGATGTAGGAAGCAGGTTTTCAGCCCTGAAAACCGTACGGTAACCTTAGTTATCACCTCGGTAACCTAGTTACTAAGTCCCTCTGACCCTGCAACTGAGCCCTGATCGACGCTGTTTGCCTACCATGCTCGACGAGATTAACTTTTACATTGTTGAGTCAGAATGTTTCCCACCCGCCCACAAGAAGAAGATGAAGACATGTCTGCCATGGTTACATGTCAATCTTATGCAGAATGTAGATATGGCAGCCCCTCAAAACAACCCGCGGAGTCAACTGACAGTCCCCAACAATCTCTCTACGGTCCCTATGTGGCATGGACCTTTAGGTATAATGTGAGAATTGTCTGTTTTCTACAGTTGAAATCTTTCTGGCCTGTTGCGCATGATGTCAACAACGAAAAGGCCAAACAAGAAAATTTCGACTCTCGGGCAAGGCTGGGTACAGATGTAATAAAAACCAAATAGGAATGAGGAATATGATGGGAATAAGAGGAGCCTTATT